GCCTATTTTAGAGTTTCAAGAATCGTAAGATTAGGACGACATAAAGAAGTTGGAAAATCGCTGGAATAAGTTTCTTGAGCTAAAATACGAATGGGCCGAATAGAATAAAAGAACTTTTTGAAAGAACATGTTTTTCATTCTAAAGAAGGTTACTTATCTATCAGTATTAATTAAAGATTAGGATATTTAATTTAATAAATATTTAATTACCACACGAAATTGAACACATAAGGTATCGATTACTCGTTAAAAAATATAACTTCAAGGCATCAAAACGAATTTAAAATTTATTTAATACAAAAACTAATTATAAAAAAAACTCTTCCATTTTTATATTATCAAAACTCGAAATTCCTGATATTAAACACCGTCATTGAACATACTGTTGTCTTTGTTTAACTCTTGTGAAAGTGCAAGAGGCATACATGCCCTTCATTAGTTTCTACGAGTAGAAACGAAATGTAATATAAAAAATAATTTGCAAGCACTGTCATAAATGTGCAAAGTTTTTTGCACAATGTACAAATCATTGTTTGATTTATTTTGTCGCTATTTTAAACCAATTGCTATTTCTGCTTTATTTGTTTATTACCAAAAATTTATTCCAACTTTATATATTTTTTAATTACCTTTGTCAACCTTGAAAGTTTCCTAGCGAAATCTTTTTTTTATCTAATGATAGTTTATAGAAAGTACCAGATATGTAGCATATATCTGTTTAACATTTTATTGTTAAACATAAGCAATAAAAAGTAATTATTCATGTCAAATTAAACGGATAAATCCACCTGTCGTCACGTAAATCTCCTAAAGTACCCCAATAAGGCAACAAAGCCTCTTTTCAGTATCGGTATTTGTAAAAGTGTCTAAAGAAATCCTAAACCACGATATTTATGGACGTCTTAAAATTGCCGGTGTAGCTGTCGCTTTATACAGACGAAGAAGGTGGGAAATTTGACACAAATAACATAACCTCAAATTAAATAAATGAGGATTAATTAATCAACCCTAATTACTTAATTAGAAAATTGGCTTTTAATAACGGTTTCGTAATTAAATGGTCGAGGAATTTCATGCTTTACGGGAAATTATAGTAAAGGGATTATGAATAATTACGTTGGTGTCACTACTAGATAGTGGTTATTGATTTATTAGTTCATAAAAACATAAAGAAATCAATAGTGCAATGTAACTTTACGTTAGAGAATCTCGTAGTAATTTAATAAGGAGGAAGTTTTTGTTTTGTTCGAAGTTTTCGTAAATAAATATTGTTTTTTTTTTCGTTATATTGAAACTAATATACAGTACACATTTGGGCATCAGGAGTCCCCATTTGGACATTATTTTACCTTTTTCTTCAATGATTTGTCACCTGCTTTTTGTCGTTCCGTTTTTATCCATTTTCATGTAGTTGGTCTCTTCATGATACATAACATCAATATAGAAAAGGTGAAACAATATATATATTTAGGACATGCAATTAAAAACGAAAAGGGAAATCAAACCCTAGAAATTAAAAGAAGGACACAATTGTCGTGGGCTGCTTTTGGTAAGTTGAGCTTAGCTTCATTTTAAAAGATAGAAAAATCCCAATACACTTACAAGAAAAACCTATGACACTTGTATACTACGTTGCAACTCATCGACTGGAAACTACGGCAATAACAAGAAAAATGGCAGAACAATTAAGAGTAACTCAACGGCCCATGGAGAGGACCATGTTAAATATAAGCCTCAGAGACAAAATTCCTAACACCGAAATAAGTCAAAGAACTAAAGTAACCGACATCATGGGAAAAATAGCAGCATTGAGATGGCAATGGGTAGCACATGTAGCGATACAAGACACCAACAGATGGTTTCATAAAGTGACATTCTGGAGACCTCGAGAAACAAAAAGTTTTAAGCATCACCGACTTGGCGCTGACACTGATGACGCCTTCTAACATTAAATTGGTGGAGGTTAAAAACACCTCCTCCACTACCAATCTCACGTCACTCACAAGTCAGCGTCAAGCCAGCGCCATGTAAGGGTTCACTAAATTGTCTCTTAAACATGGATGACTTGTCGCTATCTTGACTCTGACAGCTGATATCAAAGCCGTTATCCTGTAACGTCAGAGTGGTAGTGGAGGTGGTCAAAACCACTTACAAAAAGGTAACTGTTATGTCAAGACATGAAAGTCTTCTGCACGATGGAGATAGTATTTGAAGAAGATAAAATCGTTATAGATATTTGGACTTTAGGGATGACTGCTCTGAAAAGTTTAGCTGATGTACATCCTCGTACATACATACCTCGCCAACAGGTATTCTGATGATTTGATAATGATAATGTGCTGTTTTTCGCATGCGCCCAAAGCGAAAAATGCGCTAAAAGTAATTGGCTGTCTCATTCATTAACAAGAAACGATAACAAACCCAAATAAAGTGTTGTTTTGCCCAACACATTTGGTTGTGCTAAATTGTTGATGATATGGGTATTGTGGTCAACTAAAGTAAACCTAAGATCGCCAGAGGCTATAACTTTGAAGTTTTTTAACACTTCTTTTATCTTGAATGCAGGCAACCAAAACAAACATAATGTCAGAAGAGATGTACCGAAGAACATCGGTCACAAATAGAAGATATTATTGAAGCCCTAATTACCATAGAAATCAATGTTTAATCAGAACAAAATATCATGGTATGTAGAACCTTTATACTTTCAGTTCTAATTTAAGAGTGTGACATGAGTACTCTCTAAACTAAATTAAAGAGACTAATAATGATCGCGAGAAAAGTCCACACCAAATTACTAGGCCCAATACATAAGAGAGAATGGAATCTGCTATTGTCGATATCACTTTGACCTATACCTTTTAAATCTTGATCTTTTAAAATCCCTTATCTCTCATTTTGGAGTAATTAATAAAGATTTTACACACGTGTGGGTATTATTTATGGACAATTGGTTCTACTATGACTTGATAAAAAATAAGATTATAGCCAATTTTAACGTAAGAATTAAGAGATATGAAATTAGCTTTTAAATAAAGTCAGATCTTAAAAATATTATAAATAATCAAATATTATATATAAAATATTTATTTAATACTTTTCCAAACAAATGTCAAACTAATTTTCTTTTAATTCTATTGTACCAATATGGAATTTCTGATATCCAGTTTATATACTAATTTGCGATTTTTCTTTTATGATTCTATAATAAAATATTCTTAAGGGTATTTACTTTTCTTATTATTGATGCAAAGTAATGATTCCTATAAAAATCATCTATAAATAGACACTTTAATTTCTTATCGTTTGACATATGTATTAATGTAAATTCATTTATGTATAAGTTAAGTACGAATAAATTACTTTAGTACGTTTCATTGTATCATTGTACCTTGTTTAACAGATAGAGATTATACCCTAACCTTGTACGATTTATCAAAAATCGCATGTACCCAACAGAAACATGGGTAGGCACTTAATTTTTGGATTATTTTTATTAGGAAAGTAGCAACTGACAGTCGATAAATCGCACACTTGAGCTAATAATATAAATTTTTTATTTTGTACTGAATCAAACTCGGATACTTGCATAAGAAATTATGAAATACCAAAGCTATGGTTATAGGAATATTAATTATGGCCATTAGGACCATGGCCTTCACAAAGAAAACCTTAGAGCAGCTCAGTACAACCCAAAGAGCAATGGAGAGGGCCATGCTAGGGTAGGGATTAGTTTGAGAGACAGGATTCGAAATAACGTCATTCGTGAAAGAACAAAAATTACTGATGTCTCAGAACGTATTGCAAGGCTCAAGTGGCAATGGGTCGGACACGTTGCCCGAGATAATCCCGAAAAATGGACACAAAGATTAACAAACTGGAGACCAAGAGAGAACAGGCGAGGAGTAGGCAGACCGCAGAAGAGGTGGACAGACGATATCAAACAAGTCGCGGGCAAGCAGTGGATGAGAATTGCCAAAAGTAGAAATCGATGGAAGCAAATGGAAGAGGCCTATGTCCAGCAGTGGACGAACACAGGCTGAAGAAGAAGAAGACTAAAAATATCGTATGTGTATACAGCGCATGACAAAAGAAAAAGAAGTACTTAATTTAGTGAAACAACGTAAGCTTGAGTACCTCGGCCAAACGATGCGAAACAAAGAAAAATATCGAATTCTTCAACTCGTTATGAAGGGTGAAATATTTGTCAGGAGAGGACCGGGACGCTGTAGTATCTTGTGGTTGAAAAACCTCCGACAATAGTTTGGGATGATCTCAGCGGAGCTGTTTCGCAGAGCAGTCAACAAAACCATGATAGTTTTATGATCGCCAACATCCGGACCGTATAAGGCACTAAAGAAGAAGAAAGAAGACACAATAAAGTTAGCGTGCAATGACACTGGTTTAACAAGTGATGTATATTATTAATACCATGTCATGTCAAACTAGTGGCATTGCGCGCTAGCTTTCTTTTACTTTATCTTTGATACTTCGCGTTTTTTACAACTGACAACTTAAATTTGCGACCATTTTTTCTCTGGAAACCTCGTATCATCATATTTAAATAAATACCTTTAATTTGATATAAAAACATACATATATAAGCATCGTATTTTATTTAAAAAATAAATGAACGAAATCTTTCTTAAAAAATGATTGATTAATTGAACTAAAACTATTTGTGGTCACTTTTTGAGTAACTACGTTATGGGAGTAATGATCTTGCAGTGCAATATCGTATTATAGGTATGTTCTCCACAAAATGACCGCGTGACGTCTGACTAATGTAGGGTATTACTGATTACCAATATTATCTTAAAATTATACGATTATTGTATGTCATTATCGATAAAATCATCATTTTTAAATATTTTAATATAGTACAAAACCGTATTGTTAAAGTAAAAAATCTTTTGCAAGCAGAATAAAGAAAATTCGCTATCAAATAATAGGAATTTGATTCCGGATGTATTGAAATACGATATTTTTTTCAATTTCAGACAAATGTCTGTCGTTGGATCGGCCGTCGGGCGGAGGCAAAGGTAAAAAAATGCGAAAACCCCGTACAATATACTCCAGTCTTCAACTACAACAACTGAATAGGAGATTCCAAAGGACACAGTACCTGGCCTTACCAGAAAGGGCCGAACTGGCGGCCAGTTTGGGCCTTACACAGACTCAGGTAAGTTTTTATTAATTAATCTTATTAATATTTTAACAGAAAGTAGGCGATATCTTAAATTGAAATTGATTCTGGGAAAAATACGAGACGATTCGAGGGTGGGTGGGTGCTACTTTATAATGAGTCAGAGTCAGACTAAGTCTCCCACGAAAAGAAACTTTTAAACGATTTTCTTTTTTTACGTTTCGTAAGGTATTTGTATCTGATTAAATCGAATAATACTTATATTATTATAGTACTATTAAATTTTTGTACGTTCAGTTTTCTACAATAAAATTTGTTCTTTATTTACCAAGAATATCGGTATAAACCAGGGGTGGCCAGCCTTTTTAAGTCGAGTGCCAATATGAGAACAAAAAAAATTTGGCGTGCCACTAAAATTTTTCGACATACGAATATGGATACTATATAATAATAATATACGGTACAATATGTATTTCTTATGTAAATTCTACATTTTTCCGTTTAGTCAAGATAGTGGAGGTTTAAAAAATAACGTAATAAGTAAAACATAACAACAAACTTACTTTATTGTTAATAAAAATAAAATAAAAACGTTAAAACAAAAAAAATTAAATATTTTCTTATTATCTAAAATTCAAATTATTAAACAGTTACCTACTTATTTAATGTGGTATTTTTTTAATTAATTCATCTATATTGGGATTAATTTCTGAACTAGCCAACAGAATTAGATTTTTTAAATGCATGTCAGTTAATCGTGACCGATATTTTGATTTTATTATGTTCATAATAGAGAACATTTGCTTACAAACGTACGTTGAACCAAATCTACAACAATATCTCAGAGCTAACTCGTGTAAATTCAAAATAATTTCCCTATATTTGGTTTTTAGTATAGTGTGGTTCTGTAAATCAATAATTTCGATCTGTATTTCAGCTGAGTAACAATTGATATCTTGCAGAGAAATAGAAAAAGGATTTATGAAAAGGTCAACATTCATTTTGTCTTTTCGAAAATCTGCAAACCGGGTATTGAATGAACCTAGCAAAATAGATATAAGGTTTTTAAATCTGTCACAATTTGGAGTTCTACTGACCTTGTTGGCTAATTCCTGCATTAATGTGAAATGTGTCAATCTCTGTTCTCCAAAATCGTTACAAAAAAGCATAAGTCAAGTAGTCATCGCACAAGATGAAGAAGATCTCAGCTTTATGCTCAGAAAACTAGAAGATGAATATAAAAACAACGGAATGGAAATAAACTTAGAGAAAACCGAATACCTAACAACAGAAAACAAGGATATGAGAAACATAGAGATAGACGAGGGAAGACAAGTAAATTCAAGTATTTAGTAACCATAATATCGAACCAGGGACAACAGAAGAAGATATAAACAACAGACTAAGACAAACAAGAAACTGTATAAGACAACTAAATTCAGTGCTGTGGGATAAGAACATTACGATAAAGACAAAAAAGAGAATATATAATACCCTGACAAGAAGTATCCTGACCTATGGGTCTGAAAACTGGACAATAAACAAGAGAAATAGAGGTAGAATAAGAGCAGTAGAAATGGAGTTCCTGAGGAGAAGCTGAAGACTTACAAAAAGAGACAGAATTGAAAACGCAGAGATTAAGCGATGAATGGGAGTGCAATCAGACATAATCGACTATATAGAGGAGAAGAGACTATCCTGGTACGGCCACGTCAGAAGAGCGGACAGAGGACGCTGGATAAACAAAATCACAGAATGGAGCCCGATCGGAAGAAGAAAGAGGAAGACACCGAAGGTCATTCAGAGACGAAATCGACGAGGCTATGGAGAAAAGAACCCTGCGAAATGGAGACTGGAATGACAGGGAAAATTGGAGGGAAAACGGTTGAGTGAAGGAAGACACTGAAAACTGTGGAAATCCTTAGTAGTAGTAGTATGAAACAACCAGGCTTAATACATGAAATCTACCAATTTGCATGCCTGTAAAAGACAGTCGAATTCAAAATTTCCGAGAATGCATGATGGACACGTGATTTCGGCTGCTTTTGACTACTGACGATGCATGATTTGTGACTTAAAGTTTCATTTAACATTTGCCAGACTATAGTTGCTTTGCTATTGCGTTTTGAATCTCAAGTTTGCATATCTATGGCTCTTTTGGTACTAATAGACTTTTGATTTTCGTACTTAAAACCAAGAATGAAAAAGAAAAAGAAACAGAAGAAAAATAATTGTTATAAAGGTAGCATTTGTTACCTATCAAAACAACATATAAGTTCCATGATTACTACTTTTCTTTTGCGCTTGAACGTTTTTTAAACGCGTGCACATCGATAAATACCTAGAAACATGCGACCTAACAAGTTATATTACAATAAAAAATATATTTAATATCTCTCCTTAAAATAGTCTGTTGCTAGTTACTGAAAACACTTTAAAATATAATAAATGTATGTCGCATAGTTAACAAGTCTTATTATTTATTCCTTACAGAGCAACTAAAAATTAACAAGATAATTTACCTATTCAGCGATGAATGGTCGCTATTTATTTATTGTGAAGTTATAGTCGTGTAATTTAAAAGCAATTTATTTGATTTATTTGAATAAACAGGTGTTTTATCTACTGTTCGCTTCTCATTATTGTGTATAAGAGTTTATTGCTGCGGTTATTTGTTTTTAAACTTTAGGTTTTGTCAACTGAGTTTTAGGTTTCTATACGAATAAGTATATTTCAATCTAATTAATAGTCCCACTGTTTTTTTGTCGTTATAGAAACCGCAAGAGGGAACTGTAATGATCCTAGATATTATGTGTTATATATTAGCATGTAATAAATGCGATAAAATGGAGATTAAGTAAAAATAATAATCAGCATCAACATTATGAAAACGCAGATGAAATTGACAAATCAAAACAGGAGAAGGAAATACATCTGATTTGTACAATAATGGTTCTGTCTTAAATATAATGAGTAGAATAATGTTCTCTTATTATAACTTAGCTGCACCGTACTGATGACGATTAAATAGTCAGAAATACGTATTTAGGGTTGCCTTCCACCTTTCCACATTTCATACCATTGTTTTTTCTCCTTCTTGCGATATATGCCAATACTTTTTACCTTATATAATATTAGGATATTTAAATTTGATCTAAATTTAAATACATTTACTGATTTTATAACATTTAATAATTGGACATAGTAAACAATTAATTTATTTACTTAGTATTCCATTCCAAATATATCTCAATGATTTGAATGATATTGATTCGCTTTACTAAATAACCTATCCCCTTTACAAAAACTTATAAAGAAAAACAAATTTAATTAAATCTGTTACGTTACAAAACTTATATCTCCGTGCTATGTTCTCAAATTAAAAAAAAAAACACTTAACTTTTAATTTCATTCAATGTTAAAATTTAACCGGATACTCTCTTGTTATTTCGCTAGCTAAACTCCCTTCTTTGGATCTGTTCTCAAAACGAATCTCGATCTCACGTCATAATCAAAATTCCTATCTCTTCTTGGGTACTCAATTCTTCTAGCCAAAGCCTCTCCCTATGCAATGATAATTTATTACTTACAAATCTTGTTTAAAATAACTTTTGTACTGCTACCATTCAGCTTACATGGATTTGCTACTGCTACCACTGTTTTCAACACTTTTGAAAACAAAATTACTTTTTTTTTACTCAACTTAATTTTCTTCTACCGTTTAGATTTACTGATATTTGATCTCTTTTTAGTTTTAGATGTTACCCTTTTTACGAATAGGAACATATTGTCTTTTCTTTTAAAATCCCATCAAACATACAACTTGTCATTCCCTCTCTATTTTTAACCAATGATTCAAATTCAATTAAATATTTTCTTGTTTTCGATATACACCCAACAATACCATCTGCAATCGTTGCGCCAACTTCTCCGTGGTCGTCCTCTCTTTCTTCTTTTCTTAAGAATCTGTCTTATTGAATGAATCTGTGTAAACTTGCAGCCTTTCGTAGATAATATTTGCTAGTATTTTGTAAACAGATGTTAACAGAGTTATACCTCTATAGTTGTCACACTGGAGCTGGTCACCTTTTTTATGTAACGGACATATCACGCCTTGAGACCATTCACAAGGCATGGTCTCATTATGCCAAACAAGAAGTAAAAGCTTATGCAGTGTCTGTAGTAGGGCATTGCCACCATTCATGTAGAGCTCACTGCAAATTTGATCAATTCCTGGTGATTTATTATTTTTAAGCTTTTTATTGGCTTGGGCAACGTTTTCGATGGTAGGTGGTCTTTCGTTTGGGTTGAAAGGATTCCAATCATTTTGATTTGCTAGGGTGTTATCTGCTTCTTCGATATGATGGCCATTAAAATTTTCATTGAAAAATTCAACCCATCTGTTTAAGATTGAGGCCGTATCATTTAGGATGTTTCCGTCTACATCCTTACAGCTTCTTATTCTTGGCTTAAACTCTTTGCGCATTTTGTTTAGATTTTTGTAAAACTTTCGAGTTTCATTTTGATTTCTTAGCCACTCTGTGCTTTCCAACTGCTTTTGCTCAAATTGTCTTTTTTTCTTCTATGTAATCGTTTTTCTTCTCTTTTTAGGGTCAGATATTCTTCCTTTGCCCTTCTTGTGCATCCAGCTTGATTTGTCTTTAGGTATGCCCTATTTTTGTTAACTGTTGCTTTTTGGCACTCCTTGTCAAACCATTCGTTTTCTTTAACTGGTTTGGTTTTCCCCAATATTTTTGTTGCTTTCTCAGTTATTATGTTTTTACATTTTGTCTACAGTTCCTCTACATTTTCCCCCACCTCCAGGCTCTCCATTTCCTCGTCCATTTGTCTCCTATACTCTCTCGCAACGGTGTCAATGCGCAGATTATCAACATTTATTCTGTCTTGTTTCGTGTGTTTATATTTCTTTAGGTTTGATATTCTTCCTCTGATTTTTGCCATTACAATAAAGTGGTCACTGTCAATGTTTGGGCCTCGGTAGCTTCTGAAGTCTATGAGATCGGAAGAGTGCGTTGCATCTATCAGGATGCCATCTTTGAATTATTATAGTGAAAACCATAAATATATATTTAAAATAACTACAAGAGCAAAAATAAAAGACACGATTCTAATAGCGCATATTAAACAATAAAGAGACAATATTAAGCCAATCAATATTCATAATTTTTGTGTAGTTAGCCCATGGACGTATACGTCCATGAGTTAGCCTAAGTTGTAATGTTAATTCAAACAAATATTTACAAATGGCATTGCTAATAAATTTAGTCATTTTAATGCAAAATCAACTCAAATTTTATATTTATATTTGTTTATATCTTGCACCGTAAATCTTGATTGTGACAACTGTCACCAAATTAGATCACAAAAACCAATGTCTTGACACAAAGAACATAAATAAGATAAAATAGCCCCATTAAGTAGGAACTACCAGAACGGATACCTGGCTTAGGTGTTTAACAGAGATAAACAAAAATGTATTCACACTCAATTTTGTTTCGGAATCTAAAATATACATTTCCTTTCTTTAATCTACAATTTATTCAAACTTTTATCGCCCGAACATCATTTAAAAACGCGTTTGGAAATAAATTTTGGGCTCGTAATGTAAATTCTGCTTGTTCTAAAAATGATTTAATAAATAACAAAAACGCTAATCGTACGGTCTACAATGTCGGTATTTTTGGTGAAATAATTAGTATTCTTTAGGTGATAATAATTTTACGCTATTTGGTTTTGTTCTTTTTGTGGCTGGCTATAACTATTTTACGTACAGACCTTCTGTGAACAGGTTTTTGTTTGTGAAATCTCATACATCTTTAAATATGTATTTATTTCTTTACGTCATTTTGGATTTAAATTCAGTTATTTAATTATTTCGATTTACCCACTAATTATTTCTGTTCATATTCATTATATTTGCTAATACTCTTTAAGTTGTTTCTCTGTGAAATATTGACGTACTTCGAAAGGTTTTACAATCTGAAAATATTAACCAGGCAACCAATGGTTGTCTGGTTCGACCAAGGCATAGCTGTTTCCTGTAGAATATGCTTATTTTAATTCATTAATTTCTTCTAGTTGACTCATAGAAATCTAATAATTTCGAAAATACCATCCAGTGAGTATTTTTGATGTTCATAACTGACGTCTTTGTCTATAGTTTATTTTTATGAACGAGAGAGTAATTAGCATAATTTTAACTGGTACCTCCGACCACTCTATGGGCGTGCTCAAGATTAATTGAAAAAATTACTTTGAATAATTGTAAAAAATAAATGAATTATTTCAGTGTTATAAAGTGTTATGTGTATGTAAACAAAAGTGACCTCTTTTATCACACACTATATTAGAACTGACTGGCCTACATTAAAAAGGGTTTTAAAAAATTCACATTTTTTTTTAATTTTTAAAAATTACAAAAGAGAAAAAGAGTTTTTAAAACCGTCTAAGGTATGTTAAATAGATGAATAAAAATATTAATATAAAACTTACAGCTACTTGTTACAAATCCAAATCAGATTCAGAAGATGAACTTTCAGAACCAAGATTTATAATAACTGGCTCGATCATTTTATCAGTAATATTGTCCAGCTTCCACATTTTTTCCTCTTCTTTAATAGTGTGATTTACTGCCTTTTCCCAGTTTTCAGGTTTTACATTATTTACGGCCTCCAAAAACAACTGTTTAACATCATGAATTTTAAAAGTGGTATTTTTTCTTGAAACTTCACTCTTTATCTGTGCCCATACCAGTTCAATCGGGTTTAATTCCAATGATATGGTGGGGATCTAAGTACTGTCATTCCACGATTTTTGGCAATTTCATCAATTTCGTATTTTTTAAATTTTTCTTTATGAAGGGCACACAACGAATAAAGTTCCTTTCTTATAGATCCGGGATGGTACGTACTATTTTTTGAACTCAGCCAATTCTGCAAGTCTTTTTTTAACCACTTGGTTGTGGGCAGTCCTTCTATAAGTCTGGAGTGATAACTTGCATTATCCATTACTATTACACAGTTCTTAGGAAGAAGATCTATCATTTGTTCGAACCATTCTTGAAAGACATCAGCGTTCATGTCTTCATGGTAGTCACCGGTACGAGTTGATTCAAAAGTTAATAAACCACCTTCAACAAAACCGTCTGAACTGCCAATGTGTACTATTATCAGCCTGCGTCCCTTTCCTGATGGTGGGTTTAAACCAGTAGATAAGTTATTTACAAAAGCGTGCCTTTGACTTGTAACAGTTTCATCCTGCCAAAATTTATTTGGTGTATGACCCTCGTTGATCCATGTTTCATCAAGATAAAATATTTTTCTTTTTTGGTTTCTCATTTCCTTTATGGTTCTTAGAAAATGTCTTCTCCATATGACAATATCGCTTCTTTCTAATAAAATAGACTTTCTGGGATTCTTTTTCCAGCGGAAGCCTATTTCTTTTAAAAGTTTCCATAACGTACTTCGACTCATTTCTGGGTAATCCTTATCATCTCGAACTGAGACAAGAACTTTATCCAATGTTGGAAATTCTTGTCTAAAGAAGAATTCATGCACTTTCCGTCGAAGTCCTTCTTTAAAATGATATTCTATTTGAAATTTTGGTTTCCCTGGAGCATTACGTGGCATTTGAAAACTACCACATTTCTCTTCTTTAATAACTCTGTAAATCGTAGATTTCCCAACACCAAGTGTACTGCTAACTAACTCAACGGTCTCATCAACACTTTCACTTAAACGTTTGTCTGTATATGATTTTGAAACAATTAAATATTAATGTTTTTTCATTAACTGTTAAAGGACCAATTTTTCGGCGTTTACACGGCACTTCCAAATTTTCC